TGGAACATAGTAAATACACCAGGGTTTTGGTTTGGGAAATTTTTTTCTCAATACCATTAAGAAATTGAAAACTAAGAGAAATATGTGAAGAGAGTCTGTGAACACAATGTGACCTTACACAGGCCAGACCCTGAGTGCTTCCATTTATGTCTTCATCTGTAAGACAGAGAGCTGGGGACAAGTTGATCTAAAGACGAAGTCATTCATTCCCTCACTGGAGCATGTATTAGCTAAGTAACAAGCTTTCTGTGATCGCGAACAAGCTTTTTTTTAGTTCCCTAGTCAGGAAAAAGATTAAGCTGGTTCAAAAGGAATTTCAATATACTCATTGGATTCATTGGTCATTTTCCAGCAAACTGTCACATGATCAATAAATTGGTTCCTTACCGGTAAGTTGTACAGGTAACTTTAGAAGCCCCAAAATGAATTATTACTAAGTGAGGCTTATTCCTAAAAATGCATTTGGATTATGATTACCAATTAGTATGAATAATTAAACTCCATAATATATTATTTAGCTAGGTTCAGCTTGCTAAAATTATCACACAATCTCTGTAGTGATTTAGTATGAATTAAAACCTGTCTTCACATTATGTGAGTTAATAATGTATACCAACGGTTCCCAGATACTAACTATGGCTCCGAATCTCACATTAGTTACCTGACTAAAAGAAAAGGACAGGTGGGGATGCTTAGTGAGCCATCTGGAAGTTCCAAAAGCCACAACCACAACCACTTTTCTTGTTTTTCAAAGCATACTGTTCTCACGTATGCCTTCTCTAATCATTGGAACTACATCTTTACAATTCTTCAGAAATGTTAGAAACTACTATCCAGGCTTTCAAGGGGCACATAATTTTAGAAGTGTCTTTATACTTTAGATGTTTTTCTATATTTAAGAAAAGTGTAATTTATCTCACCTTAGAACAAATATGGGTCCTAAGAGAGTGATACATTAAAGTTTGTAAATGAGAGAACGGTAACTGGAAAAGCAATTTCTTACCATCTCGCACACTAAGCATTGCATTCTTGATTTATGTAGTTTGGAAGACCTGTGAGTCCCAGTTCTCTTTTATTTCACTGAATATCCCTTTCTGGAATTGGACAAAATGATGCAGATTTAATCCAGCAGAGCCACCAAATTTTAATTACTCAAATAGCATAGGTTCAGTGTACTGGCACAGAAAACATTTTATTCTTTCATCTTATGGCAGTCATTATCTAGATTGTTTTCTTATAACTAGTCACTCAGTGAGGTAATCAATGTAACAATAAAGACATAATAAATAACCTTTTAGTTAATAAACACTTGTGTTTGCTTCCTCTGCTGTAGTATCCTCTCTCCAGCCCCAAGCCTCCTTGCATTGTTGTTGAAAATTTCTGTTGATACATAGCTGAACATTTTTGCACGCAGCATGAGAGTTTGTGCATAAAATATGCCATTTTTCATATTGTAAACTCCAGTTAAATTCTATTGATATGATGTACTTAGCTAAAATTGTCAACCTTTATTCTTTCTATTGTGGGATTAATTTTTGCTAGGTAGATCAAATCAGTATGGAACCAGATTATTAGGTTCCGGCACTTCTTGGATTTCTGTGTATGTGTACAGTAAACTTTAACTCTTTGGTATTTCTTGATGATATAGTTTATTTTATCAAGCAAATTTCATGTTTTGTGTGCTTTTGCCTCACATTTCAGCTAAACATAGTTAAAATGTACTTTAACAAAAGAGTTAACATATAATTTTTGAAGTTTTTCCCAACAATGGGTCTCCCAGATCCAAAAATATTGCAATAAATTGTTATCTCCTGGTTAACCTCATTTATTTATACATCCAAAAGCATACGAGTATGTTTGTGTGATTACATGCATGTCTATTCTTTTTGTGGTTATCTTCAACATTAATATTTAACAAATTCCAAAGTTAATCAACACCTTTCTCTTCTCTCCCACACAACATATAGACTTTAAATGCTTTAACTCTGATTACCACCACCCGACTTATATGCTATATTATCTAGTGCTTTGGTTTTATCCTTTTCTACCGTAAATTAGACATCATTATCATTTTGTATTTTACAAGCAATACTTTTTTAGATTCACCAAAAATTTGCTAATATCTTTGTTTGCCATTCTTCCTTGTGTCCCAGATCATCCGTTTGGGATCATGTAAATTCTGCCTGCTATATATATTTTTAAGCTTCCTTCAGTGAAGTCTGTTAGAAGTAAATGCTCAGATTTGGTAGTCTGAAAATATCTATAATTAGCTACCATTTTGGAAAGATATTTTAGCTAAATATAGAACTTTACACTGACAGATAATTTCTCTTGGCCCATTGGAGACGCTAGCTTCTGGCATCCATTGTTGCTGTTCAGAAATAGGCCTTACGTCTGCTGACCATTTCTTTGTATGCGATCTGTCTTTTTCTAGCTGCTTTTGAAGGTTCCTGACCACCTCCTTTTGGTGTACTTGAGGAGGTGTCTGTGGGTGGGGTATCTTTTTCTTTATCCTGCTTGGAATTCATTGAGCTTCCCAGATCTGAGAATTGGTATCTTTCGAAAATTCTGAGACATTCCCAGCCAATATCTCTTTAAGTATTACCTCTTCATTATCTCTTTTATTTCTATCTAGAATTCAGATTATCTCCCCCAAGGTGCTCAGATTTTCTTCTGTGTTTTCAATTCCTTTGTCTTTCTAGGCTGCACCTGGTTTATTTCTCTGGATTTATCATTAGCATGTCTGATTTGTAGTTTTACTTACCCATTGTATTTTTCATTTAAATTATTATATTTTAATTTCTATAAATTCTGTTTTTGATTATTTTTCAAATACATATGGTCATTTCTTATTATCTCTTGCTCCTTACTCACGTGTTCTCATTTTTTTTTAACATTACACACAGCCGTTTTATATTCTGTGTCCAATCATTTCAGTATCATCGTGGATTTTATTCTACTATCTGTTGTTTCTTTTTCTTCTCATTCATGGTGCTTTGTTTTCTTGTGTAATTTATGATTTTATGTTTTTACTATGAAACATTTATTTTGCCGTGGAAAGAAATTAAGACCTGGATTGAGGACACATTCCTCCACAGAGGATATTCGTTTGCCTCTGCCAGTTATCTGCAGCCATTAACCCACCAGAACCATTGTACATTAAATACTCTGTTTGATGTTTCTCAAACCATGCTAATAGTGTCAATATGGACCAAGACCTGTGTGAGGGTCTGTTTTTGTTTATAACTAATCAGAGTTGGATTTTCTTTTTTTTTTTTCTTATCCACTGAGAACCAAGGTTGAGCAGGCTGGTTTCCTTGCTCTCTTCTTGGGTACAGCAGATTTATTTATTTTTATCTTCTTTCCACTTGAGCATAGAACCCTTTGAAGTATACTTGCTTTATGTGGCGCCCCCCGTTAGACTCGCCCATACTACATAAAGTCACTAAAGCATATATTCAAGGACTTCCAGGGCTTAAGAGAAACTCTCAGAGCGTTATCTCCCTATCTCCTGAGGATCAAGCTTCAACTTTGTGTAGAAATTTAAATATTTTCTCATTTCATGCAGCCTCAGCAATGCATGACAAAAGGCTTTCGAATATATTTGCTCAATATTTCAGTTGTTTCCAGCTAGAGATGGAAGTCTTTACACAATTAAACTAAGACCTAAATGAGTATCTATATATATGGTTATCATTTATATGTATTTATGGCATTTCATTTATATATACTTATAACTTTATTTCCAGTTGTATCTGGTAGCACCTTGATATCTGCTATACACTTTAATTTTTTTTTCAACTGTACTGCAAGAATAATTGAAATGCTTTTTGTCCCTTGCCTTCTTTAAAAGATAAAAAATAACATTTGGTATGCAGTTATTATAGATTTAAATAAATATAATCAGCTGTTACCTCATTTTAAAATCCTCTTTATATTATGCAGAACTGTAGAATTTTTCAAAACCTCAAAGTAATAGGATCACAGAAACAATAATAACCAGGTCCAGTTGCTATAAAGGGATTACTTATATGGAAAAATGTTAGAAACCTTTGAACTGTTGCACAAATGTTAAAGTTAGTAAACTATACACACAGTTTCCTTTGAGCAAAGAACTCATTGTGCAAAAAGTTGTGCTTGTGCTACATTTTAGAAAAATAAAATAATTTGAAAGTTTGTAGTAATTCACAATTTCAAGAGAACTTTAAAAAATGGTGACTCCGGGCCGGCCGAGTGGCGCGATGGTTAAGAACTCGCTTGGGATGCCAGAGGGCCCCGGTTCGGATCCCACATATGAGGGCCAGTGACACTGCCCTCTACAGCTAAGATGCTGAACAACAGCTCAACCTGGAGCTGGGCTGCCGTGAGTCGCCGGCGACGGCGTGGGCTGCAGTCCCTGTGGCAGTGGATTGCCATGGGCTACCGTGTGTGGCCAGCAGCCAGCGTGAGCGGCCAGCAGCCGCAGTGAGCGGCCGTCCAGAAGCCGGAGACTGATCTGCCTCGCCAGAGAAGAGCGCAATGATGGTGCCAACTTGGGCCAGTGAAGCAACATCCTCCACAACTAGATTGAAGAACAAAACGACAGCAACTTGTCTGTTCCCCTTTCCCCAATTCCCCAGCACTGTTCCCATCCCCCCAATTCCCCAATAAAAATCTTTAAAAAAAAAAATGGTGACTCCCCTTGTCTAATGAAGGCTCTTTGGGTCAAGCTGATGATTTGCCCCTTTTTAAAAAATATGAGTTCACGGCTGAGTGGCTCAGTTGGTTAAGAGCTCGCTCAAGAGTTTGAGCTCTGAGCAACAGCAGTTCGAGTCAGCCCGAGCTGAGCAGCCGTGAGCTGCCAACAAGTGGCGGGATGGCTCAGCTAAAAAAAAAAATATATATGAGTTCATATGAGACATTTTCTACAAGTAACAACACATCTCATTGCAATCACTACAGATAAGCAGCCCCAGCCATCCCTGCCCTGTCTCGCTAACTGATGGCTGTTTTTCTTCCAGTACGTGCGAGTATCTTTTGATACAAAACCTGATCTCCTCCTACACCTGATGACCAAGGAATGGCAGTTGGAGCTTCCCAAACTTCTGATCTCTGTCCATGGGGGCCTGCAGAACTTTGAACTCCAGCCAAAACTCAAGCAAGTCTTTGGGAAAGGACTTATCAAAGCAGCCATGACAACCGGAGCATGGATATTCACTGGAGGGGTTAACACAGGTAATTGGACGTGGGACAGAGAAAGGCACGGGAACATGGTGGCTAAGATAAGTTTCTTCTCAGGTTAAATATATATGTATTCCCCCCCACCTTCTCCTACCCGTGTGTGTCTATACTCACCAGGTATCTCTCTTCTCACTAATTTTCTCTCCCTCCTTTACCTAAATAGTAACTACTGTTATTTCTCAACCAAGAAGAATTACTTACATGTAAGAAATAGGTTGGGATATTTAATACTTGACTATATTAGAATTTTTAAATGTGACTAATGGAGTTTCATAGGATATTTTCAATACCTCAAGTTGCCAAATCAGCATCTAGTAACTCTTTAAGGAATAACTTTTGCTCTAAATTAGAAGCTTTGCCAATATTCTTTAAGTGAGTTTAAGTTTAATACAAATAACTTTAATTTTTGTAAAGCATCCTTTCCATCTGGGACATCAATTGTGACATCAAAGCCTAGAGTATTATTTGCCTATTATTTCAAATATTTTATTAAATCTACTCTGCACCAATTGGAGACACACCCCACTCTGAATTCCAAACAGCCTTTTCTACATGCCAAATAAGTTTCTATATTACGATACAGACAGGCTGTGAAATCCGTTTTTACAAACCCACCCATCAAGTGTGTACCTGCAGAAGTAATGTGCAACAGACAACAGAATGGATGCCTATAAATTGTTTTGACCTATTTCCCTAGTCTGGGTCTGAGGTGCCAACTAGAAGTGCACAAGTAACGCTGCACTGAGTTAATCCATACTTGTTACAAGGTCAAAGTCTGCACATGTAGACACTTGGAGTTAGTGGGACATCCTGAACATATTCCTGAATCAATGGGTTTTAAATGAAATGTTATCTCCATGTTGTCTATTCTTTTCTTTGTAGTTTGGATGGTGTTTGAGCAAGGCCTGCACTCAGAATTCTCCTCAATATCTAGATTTAGTGAACTTTCAGCATGCAACTCCAGAGGCCCATTTCAGCAGTGAGCTCTGTAAATGGTCCATGCTCATCACTGTGATGTAAAATTCTGACTTAGTCTGTAAACTGACATGACCTTAGAATGACCTGCTCGGTCAGCTCTTTACTGTTTATTTTGTAGTAATGAAACATCTACACGGCAATTTTCTTTCAATGGCTGTTCAAGCTTTAGGCTCCAGCTTTCACTTTTAGCTTAGCAGGGGTTGATTATTCGCCTATGGTTAGTCAGTCTTTTGCTTTCCTGACACAACCGGCACCTCCTAAAGAGACCAACTCAAAATTTCTAAAGGTTCCAAAGAAATTCTTACCCATCTCCTGTTTCTAAGTACTCGGAACATTACTTACGGTTTTTCTTCTTTTATGAAATGCATCTAAAAACAAAAGAACTTACAGCATAAATACTGCAAACCAAACAGTTCCTCTCTGTTTCATTCCTGGCTTAGCGTTCAATGCAGTACCCAAAGTGAGGTTCTAAATGTGGCACACTCAGGTTAGGTAAGAGGTGACGAAAGACGGAAGTGTGGCAGATGGAAGGGCATAACATGAAGTTAAACATTTTGTCCAGGACTAGCCCTGAAAGGAATTTTGTATATAAATGAGAAAAAAATGACCATTAATATTCACAGCATTACTTCTTGTATTTTTTTTTTTAGCTGAGCCATCCTGCCACCTGTTGGCAGCTCAGAGGCTGCTCAGCTCAGGCCGGGAATCGAACCGCTGTTGCTCAGAGCTCAAACTCTTGAGTGAGCTCTTAACCAACTGAGCCACTCGGCCGGCCCCTGTATTTTTTTTTTTAACTATTTCTGTCACTTAGAAGATCCGTAGATAAGCTAGGAAATGAAATTGGTATTCTCTTCAACATTCCCAGGGTAGCTCAACATAGATTTAGTGGCTATTTACACTATTTTGTTATTTGATTTTTTTTAAAGGAGGTTCTCTCCATTTGATCTTATAAATATCTCACAAGTGAGTTGTTTACACATTTGTGTCCTGTCCTGCGATTAAACTGTGTGGTGTCTTTGCGTGTTTAGTTAGTTCAGTACACAGTTTCTGAGCCCTTACTCTGTGTTAGCCCCTGAAACACAGGAAGGTGAGTAAGACACTGACCCCCCAACCTTCCCCTTAATGTGTTTTACTATTGGGGGAGACATCTTCACGGGCGCTTATGATTCATAGTGGAATATGTTAGGTGACATATTGAGCTATTCAAAATATGCAAACTGCAATCCTGTTCAACCTTGAAAGAAATAAAACCCAATTCAGATTTCATATAGGAGATGGCACTAAGTGTGAATGTTTCCTTGAGGAATGGGTGGAATTTTGATAAGTGGAAACATCTTTTCTTAGAGAATATATTTCATATCTTCTATAAAAACGATCATTTGACAGGGAGGTTTAAAGATTAGAAATTGTATTTTCTTTAAGTGGTTTATGAAAAGGTAAGATATAGGTTCCCTACCATCTTCTAAACTGAATTTTCTCACTTTTAACTATGGTGAGAAAGGCCATGGTGCTGGGAAAGACTATTATGACAGAAGAGGAAAATAACTTGAAAGATAAAGACAAAAAGGTGGTTTTTTTTATATTTTTAACATATTTTCTGCAGAATATGCCAACATTTCCTTCACAAGTAGGGTCTCCATATTATGTGTCCATAAATAGAAAGATGAAATTAAAGTTGACAAAATCTGACCAGTAACTGCTCTATTTGAATGAACCTAACTCTTACACAAACTATGGTATAGATTTAATATAGTATTATATAACATGCTTTTTATACGATACAGTCATGGAATTGGTTTTTAGTCATACCAACACATCATTGTGCTTATAATACAAGAAAAGCATTTCCTACATTTAAAGAATTGTATTTATTTTTTATAGACGCTAGATGCATTTTTTTTTTCATGTAAAGTAGGATAAGAAATGCATTGCTGGAGTTCATATACAGGTTTGGCAAATGTATCTGGCATTAGAGGTACACATTTATATCCTCATAAACACATGCAGTTTGTGTAGAAATGTGTCAAATTTTTGTATTCAATACATTTAATCTCGGGAGAGACAGTTATTGCAATTTATTTTAGAACAATGGAAAGCAATTGTTTTAAAAGACAAGAGCAACACTTCTCCTTTTCCTCGTAGGTGTTATTCGTCACGTTGGAGATGCCTTGAAGGATCATGCCTCCAAGTCTCGAGGGAAGATATGCACCATAGGGATCGCCCCCTGGGGAATTGTGGAAAACCAGGAGGACCTGATTGGAAGAGATGTAAGTCCTGGGAGCTGCCCATGTATGTGACTTCTCGTAGAGGCAATATCAAAATAGTAAAATAAAATTCAAATTCAGAATATTCATAGTATAGTACTCTTTTTGTCCCCATCTACCAAAATGAAACTTAACGTTAGTAATAGCTTATTGGGAGACTATTTATTTTCCATAATCTATGTGTGAAAACCCCAGTGTCAATTCTTACCACCAAGAAAGGTCTTAGGGAAGGTTTATCAACTGCACACTTGGTTTGAATCAAAGGGTGGTCTTTTCTCGTCCATCAAATCTTACAAGTGCTCTTGGCACAGTTACATTAAGAATAATTAACATGAACTCATTGACTGATACTTTAAATGAGGCCTCCCCTAACCCCAGATCTTCAGCTTCTTTATTATGTGCGTGCCCTTGACCTAGGTCAGGAGCATTACAGAGGGAAATTCTTTCTGTTCAAGCCTGTGGTTCCTCTGGTTGGCCTTTCTTTAACTAAATGCTTGGGTGAGCAGTAGGCACAGTTGGGTTCTTTATTTCCCACACTAGAACTATGCAGAAGCCCTTGACCAAACCTAGCAAGATGCTAAACCTCTCTTTTCTCTTCAGATGGACAGAGCCACACATTGAGCAATCAATCAACAATTTTGTTAATAAGAGCTTGGTTTTATTTTTTCTGACTCACCGTCTTATTTCTGTTCCTGCCAGGGTACTCTTCCTTTTTTTGAAATCACAAATAGATCATTCCCAACCTCCCTTAGAGGGTTTTTCTCTCTTACTAACCACCAGACATTTTCCCCTATGTAACACTCCTCAAAATTCCATTGATAGGAATTATAGTTAAACTATGAAACACAGACTGCCATACTTTATTTACTTATTTTTCCCCCGTAATTTTAGCAATTATTTATCATTGCTTTTCTACATCAGATCAACTGTCCTACCTGCCCAATCTGGGCCTTCCATGGAGTATAACAAATGTGCTAAGTAGTTTTTCCCAAGCACCATGAGGTCTATCTGAGCCAAAAAAAAAAAAAAAAAGTCAAAAGAGGAAAACAAAAATAAGAGGTTGAGAATTAACTGGTCTTAAACTGCTTATTCTACAGTGTTGCAATACAGTGAAACCATCTTATTTCAATGCAGCAGAACATACACAACTTTTTCAAATTTAATACAAAATACTTTGAATAAAAAAATCAAATATCATGAAATTCAAGCGGTAAACAAATACTCTTTAAATCCTTCAGGGCCTTTAGTTTAAGTGATAAGAAGTGTCCATGTCAATGCTACCAAATTACATGTAGACATACTAATTTATTCCATTTATTCCAGAATATATAGAGTAAGGAATAAGATATTAATTTTATCAATGTAATATGCTCTTAACTGAAGTTTACTGGCTGCTTTATATCACACACTAATTAAGTACCTCAAGCAGCAATTCCCAAAGTGTTACGTAGTCCAAACTGACAGGAAAAGTAACATTGCTAATTTTTCCAGTGTCTGGGACAAGTCTTTGATGGACTATACTTGAATTAGTACTTGCCATAGATTCCAAGTTGCCTTTTAAGTATATATTGATTGTGACCTAGAACAAATAGGAGTATATTTCTTAAAGAATTAGAATATGCTAAAATGTGCCTATTGCCAAAAGCATTTATCAGTGCATTTTATTAACAAGTGAATTAATTATCTAAAATGCTGTGATGATTCAGAAGTCATTTTTAAATGTTGTTAGACTCAGGATCTCTATTGTAAACCTAAGTCATTATCATTCGGTTTTATGGGGAAGAAGAACCATTTTGGAACTTTCTCATTCAGATGAACTATGAATAAATGGAAGCTGATTATTTCTTTATTCAAGAGAGAGTAATCAAGTAATTATCTATTGCCTAAACATTTTCAGAGAATGATGGTGAATGTCATTTTGTATCATTTTGTAAGTTCACCTTGTAAATCCTATATGATTGCAGAAAGACAATTCTTATATATACATTTACTTGTCTTGCTGAGTTGAAAGAATCATCCCTGATTTATTATCCTCCAATTTTTTTCTATAATTTCACCTCCTCTCATGCTCCCTTTTTCCCTCTCCTTTTCTTTTCCCCATATTTTTTCCCAATTGCATGCCAATAGGAATTTACACATATATATGCCTCTTCCAATAAGACTTAGTTACATTGTCTGACTTTCCAATGAAAAATGGTCTTGATTCCAGCCCAGAGGGCAGAAAAAGCCACTTGTATGTACAGTAAAATGCACACATTCACTGATACCTGCTAACAAGAGTCTATTAAAGGTAAGTCATAGCTCACCAAGATCCAAGTGAACCTGTAGAGAGACTGTCAAGAAAAGGAAACGAAATAGGCACATTGGAGAGAGGACAGGAAAAACGGTTGTATATTAGTTTTCCAGTTAATCTTTTACAAACATCTATTGAATTTCAACCATGGCTGGTACATTTTTTCCCACAATTGGGGAATTGGAATATGCATAGAATTTCTCGGGCTTTTGTGTAATAATAGAGTTTGTTTCTCAAGTTGTAAATTATTTAGAGCAAAATTATTTGGTGGACAGGACTTATGACACAGTTTGAAGGAAAGTTTTATATGTGTTTAGTATTCTAATCTGATCATTAAAAAGGAATATGATGCTAGGTTGTCATAAAAAAGTAGTATTTGAATAAAATTTCAGTGGCCACTGCTGAAAATCTGCCCTCCCCCCCCCCGCCCTAAAAATTATCAAAACAGAAGTGTTGTCTGGTAAGCTTCTTAAGTAGTTATAACAGTTTTCATAGTTAGTTTAATTAAGTACCTTCTATCATTTTTCTTCTATTTTATATAATCAAACTGACATGTAATAAACATCAAAAAATAAAACTTTTTGCATCAGACATCAGGCAGCAGGGGGAAAAACTAATGTATTGCAAAAAAATCTTTACCACTTCAGAATTCTATCAAAACGCAATCAGTTAAAAAAAAATAGAATAATTACATTTTTGGTCAAGTCTACGTCTGTATTCAAGAATAAGATTGAAGTGGCACAAAATAAATGTCAAGGGAAATCTAGGATATTTACTTGAAATAAATAAAATAGAGATAAAAGTAAGGCTCCATTTCTTATTCCTGATATTTTATTACAGTGTTTATTTCCAAACTGATAGAAAATATAAATTCTTTTATTTCTGTGGAGCTGGCTCTCAAATGAGCACTTTTAGAAGTTGAACATTCAGATACCTCGAGAGTTATTTTATTGATAGAAGTAGTCGACACAGCAGTTGCTGGTTGCTATTCATCTTAGAATATGAATATCCTTTTGGAATGGTACTATAAAGGCAAAACTATTCTAAATAGAAAGAAAAAAGATTAACTTGCCCTAAGTCTGCTTCTAGATGTTTTGAAGCATTTTCCTCCCTTCCAGTCTTATCTCTTAGCTAACATTGAGTTAGACTTTAAAGATACAAGGCATGTATTTTTGGAATCTCAGCGCTCAAATTAGAGCCTCACACATAGTAGGCACTCAGTAAATGCAGATGAAGTTGGATTGGGCATGATGAAATTCAGGCTATAATGAAAACAAACATTATCGAAAAAATACTATGATAAATCTTATCTAGTTCACAAATATACCACAACTTTATCTCTAATTACATTCCCAAGTTTGATCATACTATAGTGACTATAGTGCAGACATTTTTTTAACCCAAACACCTGAGTATAAAATTATTTTCTTATTTAGCAACTCAAGGTAGAGGTGGATGGTTAAACTTCTGTGTTGGGTATGGGGACAAGGTGCAGAACAAGAACAGGCCTTTCTCTAAACACTTTGAAAAATGCGTGATCCGTCCAACTGAGTGATAGAACTAGCCTTGATTTTTTTTTTTAATTTGAGTATCTTCTGTTTCACCAAACCCTTTTCTCAAGTAATACCATATATCAATACAACAGACTTTGGTGAAGAATGATGCTATGAGTAACTGAGATAGTACTAATTTTTTGTCCTGATATTAGACATGAAAATGTATACTGTTCAGCTACTGAGGTTAACCCCACCTCTGTGATTCCTCTGTAGTATTCTTACTGCCCCTTTCTTCTACTACAACCCATAATCCTACACTTCAAACCAACCTTAAGACTCGCTTCCATGGAGATGCCTTTTCTAACTACTTTCACCCATAATGTCATATCTTTTATTGTGATTCTCTCAGAACTGTCTTCTTCCCCACCTTAACTAAAAACTCCTCAAAAATAGGGATTGAATTGTTGTTCTTTGTTTCTTGTTAACCACTGATGTAATACTTTGCATCAACATGAAGCATTGACGTGTCACTTAAACTCAATAAGATTTTATTTTTTCATCTCTAAGTGGGCTACAAAAATACTTGCTCTATCTTCATAAAATTTCTATGCACATACCCATAATAATAGTAATTATAATTTATTGAGCTCTTATTTGAGAATGCTTTCTGTGATGGCATATATTAGCCTTATGCGGTATAGATATTGTCCCTTTTTATAGTAAGGCAACTAAATAAGGAATAGAATCAAGATTCACTATCTCTGAAGCCCATACTCTTAACTAGTAGGTATGTCAAGCAAGATATAAGAAAATATTTAATGATATTATATTCTTATTGTTAGTTGAGATATTGGCAAATATCTTATGCCTACAGATTGAATTCAAAAATAGACTCAATGATAGTGATCAGAGCCATTGTCTTTGTCCCTAGAGAATCTCAACCTGGATAAATGATTGTGAAACTATCATCAGTGTACAGTCAAGAAAGAGCTTCCAGTAAATTTAAATTTTTACATGACTCATTTTATATGTAGTTTCCTTTAGAAAACAATTTTACCAGAATTGTTTGAGGTAATTGAACAATTTCTGAAGCCTTTATAATTTCTTCTTTCCCAAATTTAGATTAACAACACACATGTCAAATTAAAAATCAAGATATGAGCACAAGAAAAAGCACTTTTCATTTTAACTTGAGGATGAAAATTGTGTTTGGG